TTCTTCTGGATCAAGGGATTTATATCCTGCATGTTGCAAAGGGAATTTTCAGCATTGGTGAATCCATTTTTTTTAAATCATGGTTGGGCCTACCTAATGAAGGGAAACCTACGATTCGCTCTGTTTGATTGAGCCATTAGGGCTTCTTTCAAGTTACAAGAACTCGTACAATAACTAAAACATTTTCCAGCTTTTGTTATTTCCACTGCACTTCAACCTAAAGTTCCATAAAGCTGAGGCAAGCTGACACATCAAGACTGCTTTTTGAGTCATATCTAAATATAAGAGCATAAAATGAGGGGATTGATGTGCAAAAAAGAAAGCTTGCAGTTGTTTCTACGTTTTCTGTGCCCATATCAGTCAAGCTGCTGTCAGGTCGTGTCAAACAACGACATCTTTATGGTCCTCGTCATTGAACATTCATTTTAGCTGAATAGTTTATGTAAAAAGTGAAAAAGGAAATGTGTGAACTTCACTGACACAGCATGTGCTCATAGCAGGAAGCTTACTGGGAAAAGTAAATACATCCAGAGGGCGCATGATGTTGACTGACAGTTTCGTCTTTGGGTTGGTTGCAATGAAAAAACATTAACAGTGAAAAGAAATCGATGAGTCAGACGCAGGTAAAGGAAACAAGTGCAAACGTTGTTTACCTTCAGTCATGAGCGAATCATGAGGCAATGATTCTGGGCTCCATTTCCTTCTTTATTGATTACATATTTCTATGTGGCAGTTTTCTGTCTTCTCTCTTGTCTTTTTTAAATCATTTTGGTGTTTGGGCGTATGTTTCTGCCCTTTTTCTGCCACCTTTGCTTTGTGGTTTTGCATTTCTCTGTGGAGGGTTTCCTCCTGGAGTCATTTAGTCAAAATACATATAAATGAACTGGATGACTCCATTAATCAACGAAAATGAGAACAAGCAGTGTATTGGAGAATATCTGCTTATTCATGAAAGACTGTGACCAATCAATCATACTAAATGTTCATTATTGTCTGTGTTTGGTCTATAATCACATAAATAGTCCACAAATCTTTGTGCTCCACTTCATTTGAATGAGAAATAATTTATTTACCTGTATGACAGTTCCATATTTGACCACGTCTCCATGGACTTTCTTGTTTTCTGTCTCGTTCTGCTTCTGCTCCAGATTTGATGCATGCTGCAACAGACACAGTTCAATCCAATTAAACACAGCTCAATCTAATTAAACGTCTGCCAA